CAGGACTAGCAAGAAACAGTTCTTGGTTTTACCACATGGGTCTCTGGTTAATTTCCTTTCTTTTTATTTTAGTCTACATACTGTTTCCTCAGTACATTTAGAGATCAAATGTTAATCAGAATAATTAACTCAATGAGTCTTAGCATTGGAGTGCAGAGGTTCTTGCAGAGACAGATATAAGCAAAGACTAAATTAAATTTAAGATAGCACATGTATAATGTAATGCAGGCTTTAATGTGTAGCCTACCAATATAGTATGTTAGAGCGTTTACTTGATTAGCAGAAGTGTTTACTTTTCTTCTGACCAATCTTCTGAGGAAGACTGCTCTAGATTGTCATTTGCCCCTGCATGTCTTAGACCTTTCTAGGATTTGCCCAGCATTTAAGACAGCAAGTTATGGAAAAGGAGATTTTGTGACAACCTGGAAAAAAAAACAAAAAACAACCCACTAAACCAAACCAACCCAACCAAAAAACCACGAACATCAAAAATGAACCCAAAAACACAACAAAACAAACCATGCCAAAATACATCCTTCACAGAAATGCAAGTGACTTTTACAAGTATCCCACATAAAACCCCCATTAATAACTATATTAATCTATAAAAATGCCTTTGCAGCTAGTTTCATACTGAGACATAAGCCTGCACTTGTGTTGAAATCATACTGATAGAAATAGAACAGCACTTCAATCAAACATGAACCTGTTCAAATTGCCTCTTTCTTCTACAGTCTTCTTCTTGACACAGTATCTAACATCATATTGCAAAGGAGGCAGTACACATCAAATCAATCCATCATATAAAAATACAGCAAAGACATAAATGTATAATTATTTGCTATGAATAGTTACTTTCTCACACATTTCAGGATTTCTGGATTAATTCTGCACCTTCAGTAATTTTAGCTTATTTTCACAGATTCAGAGTGGCTGACATAGGAAGGGACCTCTGGAGATTACCTAGTCCAACTCCATTGATCAAAGAAGGGTCAACTACGAAGTTTGCTCAGGACCATGTTTTGAATGGATTTTGAGTATTTGCAAGGACTGAAGCTCCCTGTCCTTTCCAGGCAATCTGTTCTGGTGCTTGATCACCCCTATGGTAAAAAAGTTTCTCCCTGTGTTTAAATGGAATTCCTTGTATTTCAGTTTGTGCCCAGTGCCTCTTGCCTTTTCATTGGACATCACTGAGAAGAGTCTGGCTGCATCTCCTTTAGTCCCTCTCATTGGGTAACTAACACACATTGATAAAATCTCCCTGAGCCTTCTCTCCTCCAAGCTCTCCCAGCTTCTCCTAGCATGACAGATGCTCAAGTCCTTCAGTCATCTTCATTGACTGTCACATAAATTCATGTCTTTCTCATACTGGAGAGCCCAGAATTGGACACTGCATCATGAGTCTCAACAGGGCTGAGCAGAGGGGAAGGATCATCTTCCCTGACCTGCTGGCAACATTCTTACTAGTGCAGCCCAAAAGGCTGTTGACCCTCTTTGCCACAAGGCCACATTGCTGGCCCATGTTCAACTTCTTGTCCACCAGGACCCCCAGGTCCTTTTCAACAAGAGACATGCTTCCAGCCATCCATCCAAGGCACCAGTACATGCTGGGGCTTACTCCTCCCCAAGTTTTGCATTTCCCTTTGTTGAATTTCGTGAGATTCCTGTCAGCCCATTTCTCCAGCCTGTCCAGGTCCCTCTGAATGGCAACCCAATCCTCTATGAACCCCTCCCCCCAGTTTTGCATCATATGTAAACTTGCTGAGGATGCACTGGGTCATCATCCAAGTGATTTATGAAGATGTTAACAGTACTGGACCCAGTACTGATCTCTGTGGTACAGGGCCACCAGTAACTGGCCTCCAGTCTGAACTTCCAGCCACTGATCAGAACCTTTTGAAATCTGGTTGAACTGGCTGAGCTCAATCCATTTTACTGTTCATCTGCTCGTTCATCTAGTCCAGACTTCACCAGTTCGTCTACAACGACATTAGAGGACACAGCGTTGAAAGCCTTGCTAGTTAAAGCCAAAATAAACAACACTCACTGCCCTCCCCTCATTCATCGAGCTAGTAATTTCATCACAGGAGGTTATCGGGTGGGTCAGGCATGATTTCCCCTTTGTAAATTCATACCGATTACTCACCCTCATCTCCTTAGTATTTTTTGAAATGGTTTCCTGGATTATTCCTCCAGCACCCTCTGCCTGACCAGCCTCCAGTCACCCAGATCCATCCCCTTACCCTTCCCAAAGATAGGAGAGACATTTTCTCCAGCCCTTAAAAACACCCCCTGACCACTATTACCTTGCAAAAATAATCAAGAGTAGCCTCACAATGACATGGGCCAGATCCTTCAGCACTCGGTCGCATCCAATCAAGTCCCATGGACTCGTGTACACCCAGTTTCTTAAGAAAGTCTCCAACCCGACCCTCCTCCAAGGGTAAGTCTCCTTTGCTCCTGACTTTCCCATTGATTTGAGGTGCTTGAAAATTTCTGAGGGCAAACCTTAAGCAGCAAAGAGTAAAGAAGGCACCGAGTAGTACACCATCCTTCTCCATGCCCTTTGCCACCAGTCCCCCTGTTCCATTCCACAACAGGCCCATGTTTTCTCTCATCTTCCTTTTGCTGCTGATTAGGCTGCAGAAGTCCTAGTTGCTGTTCACATGCCTCACCAGATGCTATTCCAGGTGGGCTCTGGCTTTCCTAACCCTATTCCTGCATGCTTAGTCTGTGTTTCTGTGTCCCTCCCTGGTCATCTTCCCCTGGATTCCACTTCTTGTACGCTTCAGTTTTATGTCTGAGTTTAGCTAGGCACAACTTGTTCACCCACACAGGCCTCCTGAGACCTTTGTGGTGTTTTTTTCCTATATCAGTGAGATTAACTATTTTTGAGCTTGGAGAAGGTGATCCTTGAAAAATGGACCGTCTCTTCTGGACCCCTCTTCTCTCCAGAGTCATATTCCATGGGATGCTTTCAAAGACATCCTGAAAGATGTCAAAGTCTGCTCTTTTGAAATCTGGGGTTGTTATCCTGGTTACTCTGTTCCCTCCTCTCACAATCCTCAACTCCACCAACGCAACAGCCACTGCAGCCAAAGGCTGCCCCCAGCTCTAACTTACCCAATCAGCTCTTCCTTGTTCACTTGTAGCCCTCCTCTCTACGCATCTCAAAACAGGGAAAAAATGTAGACTTTACTGATCTTACACTTAACTGAGGCACTTTTTGTTGGTTTTTTTATTGCAGTTTTTGTGCTTTTTTTGTTTTTTAATAACAGATCACAATAATCAGTTACATCACCTATTGACAAACACATAAACTATTTGTGCACACAAAAAAAGAAATACTACCTTGCTAATTATCTTATTACCATAAGTCTGCAAAATCTGATAAGGCAGGTCAGTAACTAATACCTCACCCTACTTCTCTGTTTATAAGACACAGGCAAACAGCTGGGTGAAAAAGGAGATTCAGGTGGCAAGAGAAAGCATGCTAATGTCACCACTGCAAGGAAACAAGCAGTTGACACAGGAAGAAACAACCCCCTTCTGTGGAAAATCTGAGCCTGCAGATGCACTCAGTTAAAGGGATGAACTAATGAGTCAGAATCACATCAGTTATCCCCTAGCACAAGGCATTTTTTCCTAGGCAGATTCAAATGAGCTAAGTCCTTCAAAAGCTAGGAAGCAAAGGGATGCAAGGGAACTGAACTGCATTGGAGTTATGAGAAGAGAAAAAAAGAATTTAAAAAATATATTATTAGCCTCAATAAATATAAACCAGTCAGTCTTTGTCACGCTAAGATATGAAATGTCAGGCCTATGGCAGTCTGAAGTCTGTCAAAAAATTCCCCATACTCTCCTTAAGAGACAATGCTTAAAATTGAGTATTCTCTGCTCCCCTTTTCTTTTAAAGATACAAGAGGAAACCTATCATACTCATACTACCTTAACAACAAGTAAAGGACAAGGCATGATACGTAGCATTTTCATAGAATCATAGAATGGTAAGGGTTGGAAGGGACCTTAAAGATCATCTGGTTCCAACCCCCCTGCCATGAGCAGGGACATCTTCCGCTAGACCAGGCTGCTCAGAGCTCCATCCAACCTGGCCTTGAATACTGCCTGGGAGGAGGCATCCACAGCTTCTCTGGGCAACCTGTGCCAGTGTTTCACCACCCTCGTGGTGAAGAATTTCTTCCTAATATCTAATCTAAATCTGCACTCTTTTAGTTTACAGCCATTCCCCCTTGTCCTATGACTACACACCATTGTGAGAAGTCCCTCTCCATGCTCCCTGTAGGCC